CGTTACCGGTCACGAAAAAAGACAAAAAGGGAAAAAAAAAAAAAGTGAAGTCCTTAATATTGGGCCTAAATTAGGAAAATTGGAACTCACGGTTTTCCATCTGAGGTGCATATAAAAGTTAATTAACCTAAAGAAACTGGATCTAAGAATAATCCTGTTGCTGAAAACCAGTATCAAAGCAACATGAAATATATATATAAACTTAAAAAACACATATGTAAGGAAGTAGACTTCATGATTAAGAGTATTCATTTATTCAGTATTTGAGAGCCTGCACTGTGTCAGGTACTAAGTTTAAAAAACAAAAAGTAAAACCTCACTCCCTTGCTTAAATTTTTAAATAGACTTATCAAATCAGGAAGATGATAAAATTTTTAACATAGGCTCTTAGGCTCTTCCATATTTCTAGCATGACATGGAAAATGCTTCAATTAACCTAATCCATCTTCAAAAATATCAATTCTGCCCTTGACACACAAAACAGCTTAGAATTCCCTGCATGAGCCACCAACCCTCTCCACTACTTCCTTTACTTGAAATAACTTCCTCCCCTTTTAAATTTATTATGCCATATTTAAAATGCAACAAAAGGTATTCAAAATAATATAACCACTGATATACCAGACATACAGCTTATGACAGACACCCCCACAAGCAGAAGCCTCTGCCCATCCCCTCATCAGGTTCTCCTTCCCACCCACCCCAGAGGGATCCAGATCTTGTGTTTATCATTCCCTGCCACTTCTTCAGTTTTATTATACACATAATCCTCACTACAATAATATGTGACAGTGTATTTATGCAATATTGTTTGCACACTTGAAAATTCATATAAATGCTATTATATCATAAACATCCTCCTGCAACTAACCAACTCTTTTCACTGAATTTTAAGTTTTTCAGATTCTTACACATTGAGAAATATGGCTCAGTTTGTTTCAGTTACTATTTAGTATCCAATGTAAAAAATTTTTTAATAACTTAATAATTCCCTGTTGATGAAAATTTGGATTATTTCTAACTGTTCACTATTATAAACAATGCTGTGATGATCTTGCACCTGTCTCCTTGTGCGATATACAGACTTTCTCTAGAATGGGAGCAATAAGCTTTTCTGTAATATTTTAGGCTTTGCAAGCCAGACAGTCTCTGTAACATTCTTGTTCATTTAACAACCTCTTAAAAAATCAGAAGTCATTCTTAGCTCATGGGCTACACAAAAAAGGCTGTGGGGCAGGTTTAGACTGTGGGTGGCAGTCTGCCATGCCTCCCCCTGGGGCAGACTGCAGAATCTGGGGGGTACCTCCACATGCCAACTCTACAGGAGCCATCCACCTGCTCTCCTGCCCCACACGGAGAGCAGGATCTCCCATGGCTCCATATTACAAATAAACTTGGCATAACTTTTAAATTTCTGACAACCTGTTGGAGTGAAATAGTACCTCATTAATTTTAATTTGTATTTTCCTGACTACTAATTAGGCTAAGCTTCTCTTCACAAGTGTATTAGCCATTCAAGATTTCCTCTTCTATGAAGTGCCTGTTCATATCTTTTGCCAATTTTTCTTAATGACTTACAGAAGTTTCCTATGTATTTTCTCTTACAGATACTAATCATCTGTCAGTTACATGTATTTCTAGTATATTCTTTTAATCTGCGATTGTCTCTTAATGTAAAGAAGTTTTTATTTTGATATAGTCAAATATATTTATCTTTTCCTTCATGGTTTGTAATCATTATGTCCTTCGTAACCCTCATGGTTAAAAAATGCTGCCCTACATCAAGTTTGTAAAGATACATCTCTGACATTTTCTTCTAAAAGTTTTAAATTTTACAATTTTATCCTTAGGTGGAAATGAGTTTTGTGCTAATTGAACAGATATGGATCCCAGTCTTCTTTTCCATATGAAAGATAAATGCTCCTAGCAGCAATGGGTCCAGACATTCCTCACTCAGACACAATGCCACCTCTGTCATCAATTAGCATCTTTACAAGGCCATGTTGACTGACCTCTAGAGAAGAAACTGTAAGGACAGCCAGCAGCAGGGACATGAGCCAGGAGGCTTCCACATTCAGGTAGCATCCTCTCATGCTGCTGAAGAACAGCCACTATCTCTGTCCTTCCAACCAGGTTCAGTCATGTGCCCAGTTACTAGTGGATCATTTTTTTTTTCCTTTTTGTCTTTTTTCGTGTCCGGCAACGGATCGCAACCCTCAGTGTCGCGCCCGTACTGGACCAGGACCGGCAACGGGATTGCAACCCTCGGTGCTGCGCCCGCACCTCGCTCAGCCAGTGAGTGGGAACCGGTCTCTATGTGGGATCCAAACCCTCAGCGGGAGCGCCGCCGCACTCCCAAGCGGCGCACTGTAGCAGTGCACCACCGGGCCGGCCCAGGATCATTTTTAACCTGGTAATTTTTATATGGTATATTATTTCCCAACTGGAGGGCAGATGGCACGCCATTCCCAGGATACACTGCAGAGCGCTGCACGTGTGCAGCCATCCGATTCCGCCTCGCTGACTACTTCACCAGGGACAGGAGTTTGCACCTGGCAGCTCCAGCCATCCGATTTCCAAGTACCTGTCAAAGAGGTACTTCTCCTAGGTTGGGTCTGAAGCTGGAGAAGTAGGAGTTCAAATACTGGTTCATCTAGCATAAAACCCACTTTCTCCTCTTTCCACTTTCCCCCAAGCTGATGCTCTCCTTACGTTTTCCAACCACCAACTTCTAGAACACTGGTCCAAAGGTGATTAGCACTTTTCTGTTAAATATCCATAAAATGAATATTAGTAAATTCATTTTAATTTCATATTAGAAGAACCATGCTACAACATAAAGTCCACCATGGAAATATCCAAACGTAAATTTCAAAATAGAAATAAAGCCAAATAAAAGAGAAATAACTATTCTGGTTAGTGATAAGCACTGCCAGAATTCTTAAATAAACGTAAAAGGACACCACCACATGCTGCCAAATCTTTGCTGCTTCCTTATGAGGGTCATGTCAATTGGCAAGACAAAAAAAAAAAATTTTTTTTTTTTTAAAGATGACCAGTAAGGGGATCTTAACCCTTGATTTGGTGGAGTCAGCACCACACTTTCCCAAGTAAGCTAACCGGCCATCCCTATATAGGGATCCGAACCTGTGGCCTTGGTGTTATCAGCACCACACTCTCCCAAGTGAGCCACAGGCCAGCCCAGCAAGACAAAATTTTTTATGACAATAAAAACAACAAAACTGGTTTAAGAACTATCATAACTCTACTACTAAAAATTTACTATTTCATAGTAATTATTGGAAATTATGTCTCAAATTTCTGAATATTCAGTTTTAGGTAAGTAAAATACATAAAGAAAAGTTTATATAAAAAATGAATATAAAATTGTCAATATAAGAAATTGAATCAGTTAAGGGGTACTACCCCTTAGCGTGGAGCAACATTCTCCAAAGGTTAATTAAAACATTTAAAAATTCCTCTAGCTCTCCTACCAAATCTTTTTTAGGGTATGTGCTTTAATTTTAGGGTAAGGTACCCTCCCTCTACACACATGCTCACATACCACAGCTGTCTAAACCTGGGGTGTCGCCCACCATGCTGTCCATCAGAACACAGAAACAAGAAACAAAACAAAGACACACAATGATCACGTGAAGGTAAAATCATGCCCTGGCTGTCCCCAGAGGCCCCTGCCAGAGTCGATCTCTTTCTTCCTGAGAACATATCTGTGAAGATGGAGAGGAGGCTGGGGAATGCCAAGACAAGGAGATCCAGATTTACATCTTCTACATCTGACTGCATGGGCTGCTCAGCACACGGCCACAGAGGACTCCAGTGCTGCTCAGCACAGAAGGGAAGACTAGAAGAGAGTCAGACAGCAAGTGCATCTCAACATCCAACCCAACACAGAGACAGGAACCCCGGGGCAAAACGGGAACATGAAGAAGGAAGTCAGAGACGACTGCATGAAAAGGCCAAAGAGTAATCATCTGATCACAAAGACAGATTCTACCGTAGTCTTCAACTCCACAACAAAAGCCATACAGCCTCTTAACAGTCAAAAGGGAAAAGACGGTGATGAGGTCACAAAGACACTCCTGGACTGCCACTCTGGTGCTTTCTCCCCTGTGGCCAGGTGGGAGCTCCCTGAGGAGAGGTCCACGTGGCCAAGAACAAGGGAAGCTGTGGGCAATAGCAAGCGGAACTGAGGCCCCAAATCCAACGAGGCACCACGTTCTGCCAACAATGCCACAAGTGCGCCTGGCCTCAGCCTACCCCCAGGGAGCCTGAGAGCAAGAGCCTGGACTGCAGCCTTGTGATGAACCACAGCCAGAAGACCCAGCTGCATGCACCCAGCCATGTAAGGTAGCTCCTAGAAGAGAAAGTCAACAGCACTGACATCCGTGCAGAAAGAGGACACGTATACTGGGCACAGAACCCACACAGCCATGGAAGGAAGCAGAGGAGAGCACTCTAGAAAGAACGCCCCCTCCCACGCAGACTGCCCATTCAGCCCCACTCCAAACCATCAGGAGCCCTGACACTTCACTTCCACCTCTGACCTCTGCTGTTCTTTATCGTGGCTTCTTCCTACCTAGACCTAAAGCCTTTCCTTCCTAATGCACGTTTATCTGCATTCACCTTTTTCTCTATAAATTTATAAGCCATGAGAATTATATCCAATAAGTAAAAATAATACAACTATCTGTGCCTAGAATTTTAGGTTCTAATACAATTCTGTGGTCAAATAAAATAATTCTCACAATGCAACACTCAGCAGTTAAGACATGTCTTATTTCAGACAAATATGACTTTACCTACAATTATTGAAATATGCTTCAGCTAAACAGACAGAATATACAAAAATCTAGATTTTTTTTCATATACATCAAATCTTACACAAGGACATTAGGATTAAATTACATATCTCAAACAATTTCCTTCAGATTCAAAAGTTACTTGCAATCAGGTCTAAAATATATTAAAAATGCATCAACCTTTTCCACTATGATGAGGTCTCCAACTTGTATGTCTGAACTCTTAACTTGCACTTTACCTTAAAAAAAAGAAGAAGTATAGTCAACTCAAGGAAACAATAGCACACCAGAGATCAACTTTCAATTGATAAGTAATTACGTTAGAAAAAACTTTTGGGCCAAAAAAAACCACAAAAACACTTCAGAAATTTCTCTACGCTTATACTTGCAAAATAAATTTCAGATGCACACAGTCACTCCTCTTAGTAAATTAACTTCTCTTAGCAAACTACCAAACACAAGTAATTAGCTATCGCCCAATAAGAAAAACAGAGCAAGAACTTATTGGCAGTGATGAAAAGGGATTCCACTGGAAGTTCATCCCACATTTGGCCATTGTTTCAGTTTTCAGTCAAGTTACCAATGATCATAAATAGCACTACATAAAATAATTTGGTGACTGAAACTTGATAACATGAAGATGTAAAAAAATTCTTACGTTAATATCATAAATGGGGCTGATACGCATGTAACTGATAGGAAAAAGAAATAAAGCAAATTATATATAAAATCACCTGCTACTAGTAGCTTTATTAACACAGGACAGTACTAAACACTGACATATAAAGCTTTATTAGTAAAAGCGATTCTTCTATGTAATATACTGAGTAAATTCTTAAATTATCTATATAATATCTAATGTAAAAGTCATCTATAAAGTTTAATATCTACTTGAATATCTACAAAATATAATAGATAATACAATATAGAGTAGATAAATGTTACATAGACAATTTAAGATGTCATCCTTAAGAAGGAACAAAACTCAGGCAAATTAATTCCCCTACCATTTTTACATTTTTATAACTTATTTCTTTTTTTTTCCTTTTTGTCTTTTTTCGTGACCGGCAATGGATCGCAACCCTCAGTGTCGCGCCCGTACCGGACCGGGACCGGCAACGGGATCACAACCCTCGGTGTTGCGCCCGCACCTCGCTCAGCCAGTGAGCGGCCGGTCTGTATGTGGGATCCAAACCCTCGGCGGGAGCGCCACCATGCTCCCAAGCGGAGCACTGTAGCAGTGCACCACCAGGCCAACCCTATAACTTATTTCTAACATGGAAAAATGCTCATTTTTTTAACATTCGGTTCATTCTGAGAGCTAACAGAACCAGAGGTAGATTCATATTACTTTATCAAAAACCAAAACTGCCAGTCATTATGTTGACTTTTAGACCCATATCCAACTGATTATAAAACTTTATTTCCCAAATACCTCCCAAAGCCGCTGAGTCTCCGTATTATCACACTGTTCCTAAAAATTTGTATTAAGGGTATCAAAAGCTCTCCCCACATCACGTTGCATTTTTGCTGTCGTATTTTTTTCCATGTTGTTCAATTACACAAGCCCATAAGGGCTGGAACTACTTTTCAATTACGTGTGAAACAAATCTTAACATACGTTTATAATCAATAAGTTATGCCTACATATAGCCAGAAAACAGACTTACAAAAGAATGTGTATTTTAATTATCACGAGTTTGGTCATTTCAAGCTTCAGTCTCTCCTCCCACTGTGATGCTTTCTACAGCTAACACCAGACAGAAAAGAAACCCCACTGCTCTCAGGCTGCCCCAGAACTCCTGCTTCATCGCTTAACTCCGCTTTCTCTCTCACTATCCAACCCACTTTTCTTTCCTTCTGCTTTTTCACATTCTCTGCAATAAACACATTTAAAAACAAGAGAAACAGAAACACCAGTAGTCATAAGGTGTAATAAATGCAGTAAATAAATTTTAAATGTATTGAAACATAGAGAACATTCTCTATGTTTTGATTCCTTAATCGACAAGATCTTAAATTTCTGAGAGGTTTATTATTGTTACATGGTAACAGACATAACTATATTTAACAGAACTTTACAGAACATAGAACTTACTTGCAATTACATACTTAAGGAAAAAAGTTTATGGTCAAATACAGTGTCAAAAGTTCTCATAATGTTAATCATAGTACACTATGAACAAAATATTGGAAGGCTAATAAACACAGTATAGTGACAAAACGACATGACCATATACCTCACAAATCTGCTCAAACTACACAGTTCTGAATTTTAAAGAACTGGTCAAATCGTTTAATGGGTCCTGGTTTCTTGGATAACTTCTTTTCTGGCCTCTTGCCAAAGAACATTTACAGCACTGGACAGCGAAGACTGGAGGAGGAAGGCCAGTGAGTCCCAGGCACCCAGTGCCCTCCTGTGCCTCACTGCTGCAGCCCAGGCCTAGATGTGGTTTGGGTCTATGGCCAACGCTTTGTTAACTGAGCTAACAGCTGATCCCAGAAACATACTAATATCAGAGACGGGAGAGACTAGCGACAACAGAAAATCTTTCACCTTTACATATCACAGCACATATAAAACACACAACTGCCACATGCCCTCACAAACTCAGAGAGTCATCAACACCACAATGTGTTTATAAAATGGGTGCTCAAAATTTAATAATTTCAGAGCTGCACTTTACAGAAGGAAGCTCTAAATATGGTAGAAAAGAAACTTCATAAATGCTAGTATTTAAATCTGATTATATCTTTTTCTTAAAAATATCCTGTTCAATTTACTGTCAGGTATACACACACTCAGGAAGTCACACATTATTGGCCTTTTACTTTTTAATGAGATAGTTAACAATGATTATTACCAAGTAATGTAACAATAGTACTTTCCTCTCTCTAAACTATTTCAATTAAATCTTTCCATTCAAATCTTATTCTAGCAACCAATCCCCCACTACTATGTTTCAACAGCAGGAAGCATACATGGGACTTGCCTCCCTGAAGGACAGCACTCATCTGACTTGTTCCCATGAACCATCCTTTGGGGGCTCCTTTGAAGAAAAACCAAAAAGTAACTCAAAGAATAGCTTGTTTTTATTCCAATGCCTCTTAAACATACACCTTGCCCACCAACCTCACTACTACTCATTATTTTTTGCCTGTGTAAAGAAAATATAATACTAAATGGTCTCCATTATTATCATTTCCCTAATTCAATCCAAATTCCAAATGAACTAGTTGAAAAAGCTAAGGGTTATGTTTATTCCCCACCTAAAAACCTCCATTATTTGATAATTACTTAGGAGATAATTCAAATCTGCATGATTACATGCAAGCTCTTCACAAGTGACCCCAAACTCACTTCAGGCTTCACCTGCGTCTGCCTTGCCCTTTGCCTCTGCTCCATCCCTACCCAGCACCCTGCCCTGCAGTGGTAGGATGCCCCAGCTTGTCCTTACAAGCTCCCTGCACCTGATCCTTCTGACTGAAATCCCTTCCTTCCCAGACCTCCTTAACTGCACAGTAAACATAACCTCTGTGGAACTTTTAGTAACTCATATAAACACCAGCAGCAGAGGGCCCACCCCATTGGGCGCTCGGGAGAGTGCAGCGCTGGGAGCGCGGTGACGCTCCCGCCACGGGTTCGGATCCTATATAGGACTGGCTGGTGCGCTCACTGGCTGAGCGCGGTGCGGGCGACACCAAGCCAAGAGTTGCGATCCCCTTACCGGTCACGAAAAAGACAAAAAAAAAAAAAACACCAGCAGTATTTTACACATGCCTCTAAATAATGTGCTTAAGATGCTATAAATATTCAAATGTCAGAGGGTCTAGAAATTTCAGATCCTACAATAGGTTCAAAGCACAACCTAAATACACTTTTATGACATTTAACAAGTGAGCAGATCCTTGGGGTCTTCCATCTACCTGGGCAGGGGTTACCTGTGAGAGCCAGCAAGGATTCCACTGTCTGCTCCTCTCAACAACACTGCACTGAAGGGCCTCACCATGGCAAGGATGCATGAATTAGCATCAAATTTATTTACAGATGACAAAATCTAATCTATGTGGAAAATTCTAAAAATCTACAAAAAAGCTACTAGAACAAAAAAGATTATTTTGAAATTTAGAAGGATAAAATGTAAAACTCAACTGCATTTCTTTATATTAACAATGAACTGGAAAATGTAATTAAAAAACACCACCAGTTACAATAACATCCAAAAACAAAATACTGAGGGATGAATGTGACAAAAGACATGGAAGTCTATATAGAAAACTATAAAACACTCAAACAGGACTTTTTGTGGAAACTGACAAGTTGATTCAAACATTTACATAGAAAATAACCAAAACAACCTTCAAAAAGAAAAATAAAGCAGCAGAACTTAAAGACTTACTATAAAGTTCTAAACAATAAAGCAAGTGTGGCACTGGTGAAAAAACAGTCAAACACATCAACAGAGAACAGACCCACACCCTGCAGTCAGCTAACATCCCACCAGGAGACCGAAGCGATGTGATGGAGACCAGAAAGTTCCACCAACAGTGCTGGGAACCTCAACTCCATCTCACAGGGATTAAATCACATGGATTTATCTAAATGTAAATCCTAAAGCAATAAGACTTCCAGAAGAAAACACAGTACTGTCTGTGTTCTCCACCCCTAGGTTAATAAGATGATTTACCACCTTACATTTAAATTAAATAAATATGCTGATCAAAGTAAACAAGATTTAGTTCTCTAAGATTTTGCCCAATTGCTCATGTGCATGTGCCTCTGCAAAGTTCCAGCAAGTAAAAGAGACATGACAGGCACAAAACAAACATCAGATGAAGAAACGGGTGGTGAACACACTGTTTCCTCTACTCTGTCGTTAAAGTACTCTAAAATATAAACCCAAAACACTCAGGTCCAGTTCAGACTCTTCTCTTGTAACAGTGTATCACTTGAGCAAATTGTTTTACATTCCAAGCTACAACATCCATATATTCATATAACCTTCCCGAAAAATAATTTCATGAAACTAGCTCACTTTTTCACTAAATAAGTGAGTTGGAAAGAATTCGTAAGGTCTCTTCCAGCTAATTAATTCTAAAAGTTCTTACCTAATCAATAGGAAAATAATACTGGTGAAAAATCTACTTTCACAGAAAGTTACAATTTGTCTTATCATGTAGACCACCTCTATTCCAGTTTGTAAAATAAACCAGAGAAGCAAATCCAAATTGACTAAAT